AGCAAAATGCCTCCACCTCGGAGATGGTGTCAGGGGAGGCCAAGCAGGATACGGAGACCTGACATCACCCACCACAGTGCTCGGAGGAGCCTTGAGTCCAAGCCTCAGGCAATCTCTAAAGGTGCCAGAGGCTTCACGCCCGACCGAGGTCACCAGCTGCCCCCCACGAGCGGCTCTCCGGCACGCCCACGGCCCCGGAGGCACAAGGACTTAACACAGAGAACCAGCCGCTTGGAGCAGAAAAGCAAATGGACTATGTGTTAAACCGCGCCACCAAGCCTGCCCGGAGGGGAAAGGGTGTTGTCCCGCTCGCCTGCTCCTCTCTGGAAAGAAAGATGGCGGCCGCACGGGAGCCTTGTGGACAGCAGGTTTGAGCCGGGGGCGGGGGGCAGCGGGGGCCTCATGGGAAGGGGGGCGTTCTGGGCCGTCCTTCACGCCCGACCGAGGTCGCCAGCTGCCCCCCACGAGCGGCTCTCCGGCACGGCCACGACTCCAGAGCACAGAAACCAATCTCTTAACTAACTTTTAATAGAAATACTTCCAGGGTTAATAAGTGAAACAGCAGAAATCCAAAACCGCGCGGCCGCGCGACATCATTTTATTCTTAAACCAAGCTGTAGAAAGCAAATCATTTCACAACACTGTTTCAGCATGTCTGATTGGGGGGGGGGTCGTAAACTCTAAACAATAATTGTGTATCTTCTATTGAAACAATGTATCTAGTCAAAGTAGATAGAGTATTAACTAGAACTCATCTGCCTCACAGGAATTGGGAGGGGTGGGAGGTGGGGTTCTATTGGGGTTCACGGTTAAAAATAAGTATTGGTAAAGGGAAATGTGTTTGATACTTACATGACTGAGACCTAAACCCGAAAGCTCTGTAACTTTTCCCACAGTGATTCAATAAAGAAATAAACTATTAAAAAAAATAATAAAAAAAATAAAGGTGCCAGAGGGTGACAACAGGAATCCTGACCACACGTCCCACTGTCCTGCAGGATCATCTGAGCCTCTGCCCGATGCAGCAAGCACCCTTCCCTGCCAGCGCGGGAAGCAGGCGCAGAAGGAACCTTGCCAACCCACAGGGACGAGAGGTTGCTCCACAAACCACTCCTGCCCCCAAAAAGTCCCAGAGGAGGCCTGATGAATCCGAAGACTTAAAATATGCTCAGAATTTATTAGCAAGATACATTTGCTAATTGTTAAGTCCCCAATGCAATCAGAAATCATTTATGGGGGCGGGGGGAGAAAAGAAAAAACGAAATTGTCAGCATAAGAGAACCAAAAGACACCAACATCAAAACATGTTGAAATTTTCTGGAAAAGTTTAAAACAGGGACTGGAAAGACAGTACAGCAGGTAAGGAACTTGCCTTGCACGCAGCCTATCAGGTTCCAATTCCTGGCACCCCACATAGTCTCCTGAGCACAGCCAGGAGTGATCCCAAGTGCAGAGCCAGGAGTAAACCCTTAACATAGCTAGGTGTAGTCCAAAACAAACAAACAAACAAAAATAAGCTTAAGGGATGCAGCAAGACGAAAGTGCTTGAAGCAAGAAACAGAAGATTATTATCTAATAGGGGAAAAAATAGAATGTTGAAGTTAACAGGAGGAAAGATAAGTGGCTGATAGTAAGAAAAACACATGAGGTTGTAGCTAAAATAAGGAAACAGAGGTACTTAATTGGAAGAAGAAAAAGTCAAGCAGAAATCTTGAATTAGAAAAACGTGGGGCCGAAGGGATAGCATAGTGGGCAGGATGTTTGACTTGCACACAGAGGACCCAACATGGATCTCAGGTCTCCCTCATGGTTCCTGAACACTGCCAGAAGTAGTTCCCAAGTGCAGAACCAGGAGTAACCCCTAAGCATCACGGTTTGTGGACCAAAACAATTAAAAAATTAAAAGAAAAATAGAAACGTATGAACAAAGATGGAGAAACCAAAAGATGAGCTTGGCAGTAGGATGAGGGGCTAGAAGAAAAAAGTGAATCTTAAAAAAAAAGTATTTGTTAAAGCTGGAGCGGAGAAAGGGCAGTGCGTAGGGTGCTTGCTTGCCTTGTACACGGCCAATCTGGGTCTGATCCCTGGGACCCTATACGGTACCCTGAACCCCACCAAGAGTGATCCCTGAGCACATAACCAGGAGTAAGCACCATTAGGTGTGGCCCACAAACAAACAAAATACCCAGATAAAACTAAGGAGAAATAATCAAATCTACAATGATGTAGACTTTTTTAATTTTTATGTTTCCTTTTTTGGGATCACACCCAGCAACACGCAGGGGTTCCTCCTGGCTCGGCACTCAGGAATTACTCCTGGTGGTGCTCAGGGCACCCTATGGGATGCTGGGAATTGAATGTGGGTGGGCCGCCTGCAAGGCAAACGTCCTACCCACCGTGCTATCGCTGCAGCCCCAGATGCAGACTTTAACATCTGACTCTCAAGGGACAGACCCACCAGCCAGCAAACTAAGCAGAACAGAGGTGTCCACTCACAGAACCTAGCCACGATCCACGCATGGCTCCCAACAGCACCACACGTTTTCTTTAACAATTCCAGGCTATCTCGCCAACACAGATCATATCCTCCTGAAAGGTAGGCGTGTCACAGCAGACACAGTAACAAAGATGACCATAAACTGTCAGAGCACATTCCTAAGCAGTTCCTGGCAGATTAGTTGCAGAGGAAATGAAAATGCCAAAATTCATGGGCCTAAGTGAGTCAGTGCCAAGGAGGAAACGTGCAGCGTTGGGGGCTTGCTTGAACACAGAGGGGGCAGGCCAGAGAACGTAGGTGTGACACTGACCTGCGGGTGACACGCTCTGGTGGCACCCCAACCTCAGAGGTCCCCCAAGTACTGCCAGGCGTCATCCCTGCACACAGGACCCAAGCATTAACCCCTGAGAAACACTGGGAGTGACCCCAACACCCAAAACACACAAAAAATTCCAGGACTAAAAGGAAGCACAGCAGGGAACAGAAGGTACTGCCTTCGCCTGGCAGTCCACGACCCAGAGGCAGTTCCTGCGGGCCCTGGCTCCCAAGCAGGGCCACGGGGGCCCAACTCCACGCCTCCCCCAAAGCAAGAGGGAAGTCTCTGGTGCACCCTGGGTTCTGTCAAAGAAAAGCCCCCACAGACAAGAGGTGACTAGAGGGGGCGCGGCAACGGCAGGGCCTGGGCTGTTAGCAGGAGCCCCCTCCCCCCCACCACCACCACACAGGATCCCGCGGTCCCGAGAAACCTTCCCTAAGCACCGCAGGTGTAAAAAAAATTTTTTTTTTTGAATAAAAGCGCCAAACAAGCAGCCAAGCAGCAGAGCCTCAACACAGACGGGGACACGGAGGCAGCGAGGCCCATGCGGGCTGAGGGGAGACGGGCCAGGGGTGACGGGTCCGGGCTGAGGGCATGTTCCCTGGGGGGAGGGGCGGGCTTGGACTGAGGGGCTGGGGGTGACGGCCGGGGCTGAGGGACGGGGCTGAGGGGCCGGCGGAGGGGCTGGGGGTGACGGCCGGGGATGACGGGTCGGGGCTGAGGGCACGTTCCCCGGGCGGAGGGGCAGCGCCGGCGTGGGCTGAGGGCCGGGGCCGAGGGGGCCGGGGCTGAGGGGACGAGCTGAGGGGCCGGGGGTTACGGGCCGGGCTGAGGGCATGTTCCCTGGGAGGAGGGGCGGGCTTGGACTGAGGGGCTGGGGGTGACGGCCGGGGCTGAAGGACGGGGCTGAGGGGCCGGGCAGAGGGGCTGGGGGTGACGGCCGGGGATGACGGGTCGGGGCTGAGGGCACGTTCCCCGGGCGGAGGGGCAGCGCCGGCTTGGGCTGAGGGCCGGGGCCGAGGGGGCCGGGGCTGAGGGGACGAGCTGAGGGGCCGGGGGTGACGGGCCGGGGCTGAAGGATGGGGCTGAGGGGACGGGCTGAGGGGCCGGGCGGAGGGGCTGGGGGTGACGGCCGGGGATGACGGGCCGGGGCTGAGGGCACGTTCCCCGGGCGGAGGGGCAGCGCCGGCTTGGGCTGAGGGCCGGGGCCGAGGGGGCCGGGGCTGAGGGGCCGGGGCTGAGGGGACGAGCTGAGGGGCCGGGGGTGACGGGCTGGGGCTGAAGGACGGGGCTGAGGGGACGGGCGGAGGGGAAGGGCTGAGGGGCTGGGGGTGACGGCCGGGGGTGACAGGTCGGGGCTGAGGGCACGTTCCCCGGGGCGGAGGGGCTGAGGGCCGGGGCTGAGAGGGACGGAGCTGAGGGGCCGGGGGTGACGGGCCGGGGCTGAAGGACGGGGCTGAGGGGACGGGCTGAGGGGAAGGGCTGAGGGGCTGGGGGAGACGGCCGGTGGTGACGGGCCGGGCCTGAGGGCACGTTCCCCGGGCGGAGAGGCAGCGCCGGCTTGGGCTGAGGGCCGGGACCGAGGGAGCCGGGGCTGAGGGGCCGGGGCTGAGAGGACGAGCTGAGGGGCCGGGGGTGACGGGCCGGGCTGAGGGCACGTTCCCCGGGCGGAGGGGCAGCGCCGGCTTGGACTGAGGGCCGGGGCCGAGGGGCCGGGGCTGAGGGGACGAGCTGAGGGGCCAGGGGTGACGGGCCGGGGCTGAGGGCACGTTCCCCGGGGCGGAGGGGCTGAGGGCCGGGGCTGAGAGGGACGGGGCTGAAGGCCGGAACTGAAGGACGGGGCTGAGGGGCCGGGGGTGACGGGCCGGGCCGAGGGCACGTTCCCCGGGCGGAGAGGCAGCGCCGGCTTGGACTGAGGGCCGGGGCCGAGGGGCCGGGGCTGAGGGGCCGGGGCTGAGGGGACGAGCTGAGGGGCCGGGGGTGACGGGCCGGGGCTGAGAGGGACGGGGCTGAAGGCCGGAACTGAAGGACGGGGCTGAGGGGCCGGGCGGAGGGGCCGGGGGTGACGGGCCGGGCCGAGGGCACGTTCCCCGGGCGGAGGGGCTGAGGGCCGGGGCCGAGGGGGCCGGGGCCGAGGGGGCGGGCCCGGGCCGGGTCGGACGGGGGCGGGGGCGGGCCCGGCGTTACCTGCTGCGCCGCCCCGGCCCCGCCGCGCTGGAGCGGGCGTCGTGCTTGCGGAGGGCCGAGGCCGCGGCGCCGCGCACGGGGCACAGAGGGATGAGGTCCGCCATGTCCGCCCGCCGGGCCGCCGGCTGAGCTGAGGGGCCGCCCGCGCACTCCGCCCCCCGGCGTCGCGGCCCGATGGCGTCGCCGGCCCGCGACGACGGGGCCCCCGGCGGCGAAGGCCCCGCCCCCGGGCGCGGCGCGGGCTGATGGCGTCACGGGGCGGGGCCGAGGGGCGGCGGCGGGCGGGAGGCGGGGCGGTGGGGCTGCGGGGCGGTGGGGCTGCGGCGCTGCGCGTGCGCGCCGGCCTCCTCGGCGTCCCCGTCGGGGGTCCCGGGGGCCTCGCGCGCCCGCCCGGCCCTGGGCTCCCGCGTCCTTCCTGCGGGCCGGCCGTCGGCGCAGGGCTACCCGCGGGCGGGGGCGGGGCGGTCAGTGGGGGCGGGGGGCCGCCCGGCGGGTGTGGGTCGTCGGCGGGGACCCGAGGGGCTCCTGGCGCGGGGGCCGGTGGCCTGTCCAGCGGGGGGCGGGGGGCTGGGAGCGTCAGGCCCCCTCCGCCCCCGCCGCCCCCACGCCCGCCCCGAGCGGCGCCTGTGCCCTCCCGAGAGCGCGTCCAGCGGGGCAGCTCCCGCCCTCGTGCCCTTGGTGGCCCCGACGAGCGGGGCCGCGCGGGCCGGGTCGCGGCGCCCCCCGCAGGTGGAGGCAGCTGGCAGGGCGGGCCCTGCAGAGACGCGGCCTCCTTCCTGGCGCGGGCGGGGACGCTCGAAGGGGCCGGGAGGCGGCCCGGGCCCCTGACTACAGCCCCCTCCCCGGCCCACCTGCCCCTGTCCTTAGGGGGCGGTTCCCGGGCGAGTAGGAAGAAAGGGAGTGAGTCTCCAGGGAGGACCCGGGGAGTGACCTGGGCCTGGAGAGAAGCGTCCTCGGAAAAGCACGCCACCGCCCATCGCGGCAGCCGCAGTCGGTTCATGTGGACGCCGGATCCCTTCTTTGCGGGGGTCCCTTCTTGATGTTCCACCGCACATCTCTGCTATAAGAGAACGTTAGAGGGGCTGAGCTACCGCACAGTGAGTGAGTAGGGCGTTGGCCTTGCACGCGGCCGAACCGGGTTCGGTTCCCTGCATCCACCGCCGGGCGTAATTCCCGAGTGCAGAGCCAGGAGGAACCCCTGAGCATTGCCGGGTGTGACGCAAAAAGGAAAAAAAAAGAACATTCGAATAATCAGTGACAGTTATTTCATTCTTTAAGGGAATTCAATAGACCTGAAAAAAAGTACAATGATAATCAAAACATAATTAAAATTGCTAATCAAAATGCATAGCAGGTAGAAATTGTTAAGCTGGCGTGGAAATAGATTTTCTAGATTATCCCCCCCCCCCCAAAACCTCTTAAATCTTGAGATGTCTGTAATGAAAGAAACAGGATGACTGCCCCAGGCACGGTGTTCTTCAGAGGCACAGACAAAGATGGGTGGTCACCATATAGAAGAGACACGGGGCCCTGTGTGAGGCACACCTGAGTGGGAGGGTCCCGTGTGTGAGTGCCTGATGTACCCCCAAGGGGGAGTTCCTGTGTGTGTGAGAGTTACTGTGTGAGTGTGTGTGAGGCACATCTGGGGGTCTTGTGTGGGTGTCAATTTGTGTGAGGCACACTTGAGTCGGGGGAGGGGTCCCGTGTGTGTTTGTGTGACTGTGTTTGAGTGTGAGACACAGCCGAGTGGGGGGCGCCCAGTGTGTGTGTGAGGTGCACTTGGTTACAGGGTCCCGTGTGTGTGTGAAGCGTGCACCTGGGGGTGGCAGCTTCCAGAATGTTAATTGGATTGCTCCTCGGACCCTTGGTGCTGATGAGGTGACTCCCCCTCCTGTGTGTGCACAGCGGTCCTGGCGCACAGGGTGAGCCTGATGGTGGCTGTCTCGGGGGCTGAAGGACAGTGGACGTGGCCCTGAGCACCTGCACCGGGATGGAGGCGTTTGGACACCTGCTTCCTGCTGCAGCACGGAGGTCCCCGCCAAGGGCCTCTGTCAACCCTCAGGCTTCCTGGTCATGCTCCCCATGGCACACGCAAGGAGGGCCTGCACAAACACAGACCAGGGCTGCTTGCGCTGAGGGGTGGCCGCTTGGACTAGAACCTTCTGAGTAGGGAAAATCATAGGTGTGGAGGCTGCCAGATTGTGAGCGTCTCTCAGCGCTCTGAGGGGAGTTCTCGGGATACAGTTTCTGCCTCTGTGGAACCGCCTCCGGGAGACCCGCAGGGAGGCCGAGGCTGTGCCTGGATGGACACGCATGCCCAAAGGCACGAAGCCTGTGCACAGGATAGCTCACCCCACTGACATCGGGTGTGTGGGGGGAACACGCGTGCCCTGCACAGGCGTGTCAGGTGTATAAGGACATGCTCAGCCCTCACGGCATGTCGCTTGTGTGCAAGACACACATTTACCCTACACAGGTGTGCACAAAGAACATGCTTATCCCACAAGGACATGCTGGGTGTGTTAGAACACACTCCACCCGGGACATGCCACGTATGTACCAGAGCCGCTTTCTCCACAGGGACAAGTGCTGTGTGCACAGGGACGCTGAATCACAGACATGTTTCTTGCACAGAGACCTGTGGGAGGGCGAGGTTCTGTACAGGACACACGTGTGCTGACCCAAGGTTCCATACAGGACACACGTGTGCTAACCTGAGAGAGGGTGAGGTTCTGCACAGGACACACGTGCTGACCCGCAGGAGGGCGAGGGTCCGTACAGGACACAGGCGTGCTGAGCCGAGGTTCCATACAGGACACATGCGTGCTGGCCCATAGGTGGGCTTGGTTCCGCACAGGACACACGTGTGCTGACCTGAGAGAGGGCGAGGTTCCATACAGGACACACGCGTGCTGGCCCACAGGAGGGCTTGGTTCTGCACAGGACACACGTGTGCTGACCTGAGAGAGGGCGAGGTTCCGTACAGGACACACGCGTGCTGGCCCACAGGAGGGCTTGGTTCCGCACAGGACACACGTGTGCTGACCTGAGAGAGGGCGAGGTTCGGTACAGGACACACGCGTGCTGGCCCACAGGAGGGCTTGGCTCCACACAGGAGCAGACAGATCCCTGCTGCTGCCACGGCAGAGGCCCCACGAGGCCCTCTCTGAAGTGAAGGGTGTTGCTGTCCTTCTTCCTGACTGCTGTGCCCCTGTGCGTCAGATCTGCCCCCGGCCCTGTCAGTCGGAATCCCTGACCCCTGTTCTCCCTGTGGGTGGCCCAGGCTTGCTGGCCCTCCCGCACCCTCACAAGAGTGGCACCGACCTCCCGCCCTTCCTGCCTGCACAGTCCCACAGCTGCGACAGCCCCTAACTCACCGGAGGTGCAGGCGCACTCGGCTTCCTCCCCCAAGTCTCAACATAAAAAACCCTCATTAAGGAAGAGAAGTGCTCCCCAGTGATGGAAGACAAAGGGAGCAATTGACTGGAATAAAGTCAGCGCTCCTGTGACTGTCCGCGGAAACGTGCCCACAACCACTCCATTAGCGGGTGTGTGGACGGAGGGGCGCTGTCCTGGGGGGCTGGAGGCTCGCCCGCTTCAGAGGCTCATATCCTGGGGGGGCTCAGAAGGGGAGAAGGAGGGGAAGCACCCCCAGAAACTGGCGGCCTCAGGGACCGCTGGTCAGCAGGAGGCCTGGGCGCCTCAGCCCCAGCTGCCTGCCTGTCCTCCAGCCGTCCTGCTGGCACCGCCCACCCGGGCTCCAGACCTCAGCCTCTGGGCGCCCTCCTCCCCCCATCTGGGCACCCTCCTCCCACCTCTGGGCGCTCCCTCCCCCCCAGCTGGGCTCCCTCCCCTTCCCTGCCCTCTGGGCGCCCCTTCTGCTGAAGCTTGGGAGCCCTGGCTGTTCCCAGGGGGCTGCCCTGGTCCTGGACCTCCTCCTTTCTCTTCAGCCTTCCAGAATCTTCCCTCTTGCTCGTCGTCCCAAGACTTGTCCCAAGGGGTGTAGTGGTGGGATAATGTTGCTGTTCTGTTTTGGAAAGCAAAGTCACTCACCTCAGACGTCTCACTGACCTGTGGAATTTTCTAGAAATGTAACTGGTTCACCCCTCACGCTCACCCGGGTGGGTTCAGGTTGCTGATTCCTTGGCCTGCTGTCCAGCAGCCCCTGTTAGGTGCTGGGTCACTAGCGTTCGTCAGGCCAGCAGGAAGCGCTCCTGGGGCTGCTGCGGGCAGGGTCTGCAGTGGGGGTGGGTGGGGGTCAGCTCTAGGGGACTTGAGTTTTCTTTCTCGTGTGACAACTCCAGGACCCAGAGCTGGGCCCAGTGTGGGGCATAGATGCTCCCTGGGGAGCAGGAAGTGACTGCCTGCAGGGAGGTGTCTGGCCTGTAAGAGCTCTGACATCCAGGCTGGTGTTTCCGGCTGCTCCCCGGCAGAGGACAGGGCCCTCCCATCCCCCCAGATTCGGTTGGGCTGTGCCGTCAGCGCTGGTTCACCCTGTCTGGTCTCCAGGGAAGTAAACAGACGTAGGGGGTAGGTCTCCGTGCTCCGTGCTCAGGAGGTGGTCCTCCAGGGATTTGAACCACAGCAGCATGAAGACACGTGTACTGCCTCCTGTGCTGCCTCCAGCGCTGCTTAAGGGGGATGTTCATGACCGAGCTGCAGTGTGGGGGGCCCAGGGGCCCCAGCCGGCAGTGCTCAGTCTAGCTCGGGGCACGTGCTCCGGGCTGAGGAGCTGGGCTGGAACGGCGCCTCTCACACCGCAAGCAGCCCAGCAATCCTCGGCCCTCAAGGACTGTTTCCAAGCTAACTCCTGTTATTCCTCAAGGTCGAGGGACCCTGCACAGCCCTCAGTCTGTGTTCCGGCTCTTCTTGATCCAAACTCCGTTTCAGCAGCAGGTGGGACCTGAAAGGGTGCCCAGTGAACAGTCGCTTTCTCGACTTTAATTGGGGTGGTTTCCCCCAAACAGAGCTGAGGGCACTCCTCGCAACGCTTGACCATTCGGGCGGACGGGGCCACGCCAGGGGTGGGAGATGGGTCCCGGCCTGATTT